AGCGTTAGCCGGAAAGAGATCGAGTGCGATAGAGAATAGAAAAGGCTGCGTCAAAATCATTACACACTTTGTCAACCATGGGAACAGCATCCCACCACAGTAACTCCCTGAACTAATGATCCCCATAGCCAATGTTCGATATCGCCTGAAATGGTGCGTAGTGATGGCGACCCCAGGTAAGAACAAGAACCCCAACGACGCGCCGACGATGATACCCTGAGTCAAAAACACCTGGTAAAACTGTTGCGGCTTGGCCAGAGATAGCATATAATATCTGAAGTGTCAGAGAATTAGGTGTCAGTGGATTGAAAGAGTTGCCCTCTTGAACACTCACCCAAAGACGTAGGTCAATGAACCAACGCCGACTATGTGATGAAAGTATCCAGCGTCAAATAGGATACCTGCCGGTAGGCAGAGACAGAAGAGCAGGAACAGTTGTACGGATCCTATCCAACCAATCTCTGATGGTGTGTAATTGGTGAGATAAAAGCGGGAATAGTAGTCTTGATAGACGCCAAAGGAATTGGTAAATCTGTACGAGTCCATCAGCATTATCCCTACAAGAAGGAATTGATATAGGAAACCCACCCAAAGGTAGCAAACATGAGGCACCAGCTAAGTAGGTGTTAATTTTTTTTCCCATACTCATATGGTGGCACTTGCCCTCCTGCTACGGTGGACGAAGCAGCCCAACCACCATCTGGTATCTCCACACTTGCGACAGAGACCCCAGTCTCACCCTCCTTTTTGTCCAAAGTACTAAATCGGTGATCACCCACATAGGTGTCATCGCTAGAACGAGATGTTCCGTTCTCTAGACTCGTTAGCCTTGTATCCGTCGAGTTGTGGGCGTTTGACATTATTGGAGAGAGTAAGGGGTACGAAAGACGAATAAGAGATCTTGAAGTGACAAATCAAGCACGCAGCATCAAATGAAAGGTGGAAAGGGAAGCTAGTGATATCATAGGCGATATTAGGAGGACGTGTAATGAAGGAGTACTGTGGGCGCGCGCATATCCACGAGTTGGTGGGTGATACCATGGAGGTTCGCGGTTATGGACTCCCCAATGACGAGTACAGGGTGACTAAAATACCGCCGACACTCAAGAAAGTATGTTTTTAATTGATTCATAGTGACTAATTTCTTGGATATGGAAACCCTTTAGCATCTTGCCTGCAAAATTCAAAAATACGTCATACGTACAACTTTCTATGGTATTGATATTTCCCAATTCACTGCTTTCCAGTGAAATTGTCCCAACGTATGTGCCGCGCGCCAACACCTCTCCTTATTTCGTGTTCCAAATGCCGAGGAAGGCAAGTGGGACTTGGCCCAATAACGAAAAGTGGTACATATTGGTATATCGAGGGAGCAAATTCTAAGCCTAGCCGGGCCGCATCCTCCGACATCAGCCTTGTTGGAGTGGCCCTAGTGGGAGGATGACCTACACCACAATCGAGTTTGGAGCAAGTTGCGCCATAATGCGAACAGGATCCTAGATGATGCAAGGTTCAAGAACGGAAGATTGAGATAATCTGCTATGGACTGTTGAATTTCGGTCGTCTTCGGACTCGGTTGGAGCTTCTAACTCACCAGAGAAGATCGTACGTC